CGATGCTGGTTGTACTAGCGCCGAGCTAGTATATGGCACGACACTGCGACTGCCTGGTGAATTTGTTTCTCCCTCGAGCTTCCCACCAGTGGTAGATCACGCTTCATACGTCAGCAGGCTTACAAACGCAATGCGTTCAGTTAAACCTGCTCCCCTTCGTCCACAGTCCATTGATGTTTTCGTTCATCCGTGTTTGAAAACTTCTTCACATGTATTTGTTCGTCGCGACTCTGTGCGCAGACCCCTGGAACCCCCATATGACGGACCTTATAAGGTAATTAAACGTTCTGATAAATTCTTTGTCTTGGACAAAAACGGCCGCGAGGACACCGTCAGCATTGACCGTCTGAAACCGGCTTACTTGGAGGGTAATCCTATTAGCATAGAGCTCAACGTACCCCAAAATCCACAAGTAACAGAAGATCGTTTAGACATCGATGAAGTCACTAGCACAGCGACAGCTACCGAACCTTCTATCGAGCCTCCCAAGAAAACCCGTTCTGGACGCACCGTAAGGTTCCCAGAATATCTGCACACTTATTTGACTTAACGAAGTCGTGTGATTCACGCAACTCATTCGTTTGTGGTACTGACTATTTTTTTTGACGTATCAATTTTTTTTATATACAGTACCACCGAACACAAAAAATTTTTTTCAACAGTTCATGTAACATACACAAAAAAATTAATTAGATGTATTTTTTTTCGATGTTCTGAACTTAGCATTATTTTACTGTATAGTAAATGCACACAATTTTTTTTAACCAAAAAGCTCATTTCGTACATTTTCCTCGACATGGTTCTTAGCGTTCTTGTTTTCTTTTCCAGGTGCGACGGGCACTGGACAGGAAACAAACGAAGCACGGAATCCAACGAACAACAACCAGGAAGCTATGTACAAACACCCTATTAGCATAGGCAGACAAACCAGTAGGCATACGACCAAGCCGCTCGGAAGATTTTTTTCACCCGAAAGGGAACCATCGAGTTTTTTTACTTCCGGCTGGTTCTGTCTTAGGGTCCTCACGACCCCACTAGGGGGGAGTGAGCTGTAGCGGTAAATAATTCCCCAAAATTATTGACCACAGCAATCACTCATTGGATGCTGACCACCACTGTTTAAGTCGACTTGTTTAGCTGAAGGCTTCCGGTCAAGCATCCCCGCCATTTGGTACCCCGTCGTGTAACGTGCACGATCACTAGCTAGCTAAGCGTTTGTCTGAAGGCTTGTTTTGGTCCCAAAATATATCTCTTGGTTTGGACGATCAAATATTGGCTTTTGCTTTGTTGTTGGTACGCGAGAACTAATAAATTAGAGGCGGTGTAAGATAATTCCACCAACCCCTTAAAGTATAATCAATGTATCACTATTTACCTATGCAAGGTTAATGTACGACCAGCTTTATTAATGTAAAGTTCGTTATAAAACATATATGGGTATATGACACTTCTGAGTGATGCTAATTAACTCATATATATATATATATATATAGAAAATCAAAACAAGTGATTCAGCGAAGAGACTCTTTTCAACGAATTTATCATCAAGCTGTACAGTCGTATATATATGGTTTTGATTGTTTTGATTTTCTAAATGTTACAATGGGAATTTTCCATGAGTTAAAAAATATATATATATATCCACTGATGTCTTCATTCGCCACTCCATCAACTAGGTCTTCACAAACGGAATATTTAGAAGTCATGTGAAGTTTCACATATAAAAGCATAATATTAATGCGCTTACAATTACCATAAACCCAACTATTTATAAAAACTGTCCACAAAAACTAAATATGCCTAGTGCAGTTTTTAATTATACACATCAACTCATGTGATTACGTCAATATTTCAACTGTGATAGGATTGATATATATTATTGTATCATGAATCCAATAAACATATTAAATTTAGAGAGTGTATATATTATCGTATATAACCAACGTAAAATATGCATGAACAAATAATGACGATTACCTAATTAGCTAATTGTCTAAATATCTGACTCACTAACTAAGTAACTAACAAAGCGATTGATAACTAAAAGTCGCATTCGCTACCTCACTGCCACAGTAAATAAATCAATATCTCACCCAATAATCACTTGCTAAATATCTCCACAAGTAACCAGCCAGCTAACATACTTACTCACCACCAAAGTAAATATCTAAACAGCTATCTGAATATCTAACTAAAGAGATAAGTGCCTGAATAGGTCGCTAGGTAAACCACTAACTAACAGACTTACTAACTAACTAACTAAATAGTCAAGCGAGTGACCAGATGATTTAAAAATTTTGAAATCAGGACTTCAGTGGTTGATAGTATTTAAAACCTGTGAAATATATCTACATCATAATATGGAGGAATACCGCGTGGGCGATTATGCCCGCCACCATCGACAAATACAATACCACCAACAACAACAACGACAGTAATATCATTATTACGCTTCATCATGCTCGACGCAGTTTCACTCGAAAAATTCACCATGGAGAACTCCCTCAAGCGTGTGGAACATGCGGAAATCAAAGATCCACTGAATTCGTGTGTGAAAGTCATACATTCGGAAAACAGCCTCTACATATCAAGACAAATACACAAACCACCGTCACCTGAGAGAATGACAATCCAAACACACACACACCTTGACAATAGTTCAATTATTCTGTAGACGCTACTAAGAAGGACTGAAAGCTACAGGAAACCCAGGGGGAAGGGTGAGGGAGGATATTTCTTACTGAAAATCAAACTCACTGTGCTGTCGTCTCAATATCCGTGTACAAATCGGACGGAGGCGGTTATTCACGACGTGAATTACTTCAGGTAGTTAACTTTGTATTAGCTGTCTATGGGAATTCTGTCATCATATCACACCTCACGTTCGCCCAGCTTCAGACGTATCATGTCAATTAATTTCGTACAGATTGAATATCTGTTGCGGACTCTGGAGGAACGCTGTTCGTGAAAATAACTTGTGGTAGACAGCTCCTATCCTCACCCGATCACAATTACTCACAAGACAGGACAACGAATTCACACGTGAGTCAGCACACAACGTGAGAATGTTGATTCAGTCTCATCAGAAATCCAACAACATCCGAGGGAAGTGTTTGGAAATGGTGCGAAAATTGTTTGTTAGTAAGTCAGTTACTTAGGTTTATGTAGTAATTAATTGTAATCGTAGTGTTAGCATTTCGAGATGACCGAATTACAAGAATCCAAACAAAACACAGAGAGGGTGGAACTCAGGAATTTGTATTTAGCGGAATTGTTATTCAATTCATATAAGAAACATATTAACAACCAACAGTAAGTATTTAAACAATAGAGAGATAGAAATTGTCAATCACCACAGTTTAGTTTCAGCTATAACGTGAATCGCTCACATTCAATCAGGATTGTCCCTTATTCAACACACTTTCATATTATTAGGATTAATTGAGTCAGGAAACGACTGTTCATTTCCCCCACCACACAATACACATTGTGTACAGTTGGAGATATACAGCAGGATGCACAATCCACCAATCCCCATTCACTCGTATTTGTGTCGGTGTCACGGTGGTTAGGACGCTCTCTGTCCATGCAGTTGTTCCGGGAATCGACACCACGTCGATGCATACCTGATATCAATGTTCAGCCTGGTAAATTTCGGCTCCCTACATCACATCGTGACAATTTCACGATTGTATCGAAAATACTGTGTGGATTCAAAGTACGATAAAATGGGACAAAATAAAATTAATAAATCTCATCATGCAATATTATTTCCTATTTCGTAAAATTTCAGAATGATTACTGGGTAGGGAGGAGACGAGCGATGGTGATTGCATACACATGAACATGTCCGTATGTTCACCATCGTCTGGTCCATCCACATGTGTGTGCGTTCGTATGTAAGTTAGTGAGAGAAATAGTGAGAGGTGGAGTGAGAGAGAATGAGAGGCGATTGTTTGTATCCTCCTCACTAAATTATTAATTCTGTAGAGATGACAGGATTTCAGGTAAACTCTCATCTCAGCAATAATCACTTATTCCACGTAGGAATATGTGAATCTGGTTAGAAACTCTGCGAGATAAACATCAGCCTTACCTCATCTCACTTCACTCAGCCAGTTAATTAGTCGCTCACTAAACTTGATATCAACTGCATTCATTGTACATTTCACCTGTTTTTATTCAATTACTTCTGGATTCATTTTGGTAATGGGTTATTAATCGACTTTCAGTAATTTAAGCGACTGTTCACTGTGTAAATATCTCGTCTTTCATTATCATTTAATACCATTAGTGGACTAATTCTAATGACCGAATATGTTTATTGATTCAAACAACTGATCTTCCCTTGTCTGATAATTTGTTCACGTCTTAGGTATTCAAAATGTTTATTCGCTTAATGGAGTATACTTGATTAGTCGAGTAAAACAAATTTTAGTAAAGTGGTACAGTTCAAATGTTTTATTGGTTGAAGAATCAATCAGTGATTTACAACATACAGAAAGTGTGATGAAGATCACTGTAGTGTTTAACAAACTTCTTTCAATATCATAATAATAATAACATTTGTGAAGGAAGGAAAATGAAGACGGAACGAAAGCAGATCATCTTCCATATTCTCGAAGTATGAATCCTCTTAATTGTACAGTCTTCCTACTCTCTGTCTGACTGTGTGTGTGTGTGCAAGTTCAAACATGCAGACTTATGGATATTTCTTTTCATTTTATGAAATTCTATTTATCAGAGACTTTTGTTTTACTTTTATTGTGAAGTTTAAAACAGGACAAGAATTTATTCATCACTGTAACTCTAGTTGCCTAATTCAAAAGAAAACATACAAAGTTTTATATACTATGAACTGCATTCCTATAAAAATATAGACAGATTATTAAGAAAGCAAAGTATCTAATTGACAGCGAGTGAGCAAGCAAGCGAGCGATCGAGCGAGACATTGACAGAATAAATTATCTAGTGTTATGTCTAATAGTCATATGGAAAATTTACATTGATGACAGTGGAAACAAGGCGATGTGTGACATCAAAATAGACACAATGATAACCACGATGTAAGCTGTGCTTTGTATTCTTCTCGAGTTGGATCCATTTCTCTGTGTTCAAAAGATGAAATAGAAAACAGTGACATGAACTTACTGATTGCACAATATATTCGATGTATAATTTTAAATTAAAGTTAAGAAAAAATGTTTAAAAAACAACAACAATTACATCAGTGTAATCACTCTGTCCCTTCCCTCCTATCACGCCTTTTTGGTGAATATCTGCATTTCAGCATTAGAGAGGATTCCATCATGAGCTGACATCAATTGGAGAGGCAGTGGAAAATTCTCTGAGAGTACTGGACAGCTGTTTCCTCCCTCCTAGTTTGAGACTCTTCTTCTGTACCCACCCACCCACGGGGTTCAAACCCAGGACCTTCTAGGTACAAGGCGAGCATATAGACTACTATATGCTATCCGAGTGGCGAAGTGAATTTCTATTACTGTACTTTACACCACATCACATCACATCACATCACTTCACATGTGAATATCAAGTACAGGTTTCAAGTTCTGGTAAAATCTTAAGCAATGCGAAACTCGCATTTGACCTTGAAAAGACTGACGCGTGAACCACCCTTGAGAGTGAATGATTCTGATGTTCTCAGTCTAAATGATTAGGTGGAAGGGAAGAACACTTAATATGAGTGAGATTGAAATTACTCTGCAAAAATGCAAGAGAAACGTGCTATTCAGCGATATCAGACACGCCAATTGTGAAGATTTCATAATCGAGTGGTATTTGCAATATCGAATTCAAAGACTAGTGCAATATATATGTATATATATATATATATATGCATCACAGTTCTGAGTAATAACCGACAACTCTTATCCATTACCAGTTTTCGGCGTCTTCTTGAAAGTTACATTGCATTCTTTTAGTTGTTAAGAAAACACTAAATTTTTGAATTTTATCATGAGCTGACCTTGTTTAGAGAACCATTGGAGCGGTTCGAGTGTCAAAAAAAACACTCGCCAACGATGACATTAGCTAGTGGTTACGTTATATTGAAAATTGACAGCAGTTAGAATTCATGGGCCATTGGATCGAGGCTCCCAGTGGCTCAATCGTCTACGAGCTAGCTCGCCTTGTTAGCAGAAGTCCTGGGTCAGAACCCTGTTGGGCGGATACTGATGAAGAGTCCCAAACTAGGACGAAACAGCTGTCCAGTACTCCCAGGTGGTTTTCCAGTGGTTCTCTAACTGATATCAGCTCATGATGAAATCCTCCATACAGTTGAAATTGTTTCAGGAGACATAAATTCTTTCAAGGTTGCATATACATCTCACCTACAAGTGACATCAAGTATACCACCTAGGTCCAGGTCTTTCTACTGACTTCTGGTGGTCATCTTACTTAGAGACACAAATTCACATATTCCTAAAATCAAAGCCTTTGGAATAAACAGTTACCGGAATGAATTAGTACTTGCGAGAATTAATCAATGCACATAGTGGCTATAGGATGTTTCAAGACTATGTTTAAAACTATTTTCTATTTTGTTTTTGTTTTTTTAATCTTACCTGAAGGGTTAAGAAAGGAAGAATTCGATCGATGCTGCCATTATTTGGTGCTGGTTCTAGATCGAGCAGAAGACAAACCATGTTGTATATGTCTAATAGGTGAACATCGCCATCGGATAAATCGGTATGATTGTTTCTCACACGAGGTCCCATAGCCATGAGAAATGAGGACATCTCTTCGTTAATTGGATCGTATCCATGACCACCTTTAAGTGCTATCATTGAAAAAAATAAAAATAATTTTATTATTCATGCCTATCAGTGCAATCGGATACCATCTCTCCAATGAAATATTACTCCACGACGATGAGCTTAGTGTAAATGAACATTGATCGCATGTCAACGTGTTGCCTCTTTTTATCTCCTTCACATTTCCAGTGCGACATAGGGCTTCGAGCTAGTGGCCTCAAATTTCTGTAGCAGTGTTTATTTTACATGATTGGATTGCTAGCCTCATGCCCAACCTTTCCTCTTTACCAGCATTATTTCTGGCTTAGCGAGGTAAAGGTGTGCGTCTGTGGCCAGGGGTCGAACCCCGGAACATGTGCATGGTAAGCGAGCGTTCTAACCGTTATACCACCAATGCAAAATGCTCGTCCACATCCCGGAACCGGGATGTTTAGTTACCAAATTTTCGTCAGTAATAGAGACATCTTCGGATAAGTAAGGCTTCACATACAAGAGGCTGACAATATACCTCAGTTTATTGTGTAACAACAGATGACAAGACGCGGAAACAAAAGTATATTTCATTAATAATACGGCTGTTTATATATCTATACAGTTTATATATCGGTTAACCAAAATCTGTAGTGAACTGTGGGAATAACATTCCGACTCCAACATCAAATAGAATGTTCAACTAGATATGTATTGCATACTATTGCGATTGCCAACTTGCACTGTGGGAATATGTGAGAATGATATTCCGTTGGAATACATTGTTGATGCCTTATGAAACGGTTACAATGTATGCGACAATGTTAAACTTAGTGCAAAGTTTATGACTTCAGCTTGATTTCTGTTCGCAGACAGAGTTTCCTAGTACGCTGGCAGTAATTTTAAGTCCATAAGATGGAATCATAGAAATGTGTCTTAATGTACTTTTGGATTACTTTTTACGAAATGTATACAGACAGTGTGATAAAGTTTCCAATAATATTGTTTCCTTTACAATTTTCTACCTAAAAAAGTGAGTCATTCCAGAGTATCAACATCTACAGTCTGTTTTCCTAAAAAGAGAATGTGCGTTGGTGGCACGGCGGTTAGGACGCTCGCTGTCCATGCAAACCGCCCGGGGTTCGACCCCTTGATATCAATGGTCGGCCTGCAAAATTTAGACAACCATTATCACAAGCTGGAAATTACATGCCTGTGCCAAAATTACGGTATGGAATCAAGCTGTAATCCAAAATAAAATAATAAAAAAGAGAAAAGAACGAATGGGAAAAGTATGCCTGAAAGAATAAATTCACAGAAAATAAAGTGAAGAAGTTGCCCAATGTCCTAAATGAAATCGACCACTTGAAACACAAATTTATACAGATGTTTAGCAACAAGGATAGTGAGCATATAATGAAATCTATTGATAATGACATAGTTGCGGGTATCAAGCATTCCAGGAATACTCAGAAGTGGCTTTAGGTGTAAAAAAGAAGAATATAAGTTGCGAATTACGTAGTAGTCAGCGGCACAAACAAAGAAATGGTTAGAAATTTGATAAGGTTAAAATTGTTTTCGAGTGAGAGAAGAAGGGTGTTAGTTGAGTGTCAATTTAACAAGTGTGAAGAGGGTGTGGAAATGTACAAAAGGAGCATATGAGAGTGGTAATGGTGAATTAGTTAATAAAGTAAAAGCAAACTAAACGTTGAATTGAAAATGAAAAAGAATTAAAATTCAAATGAATTTTACAGTCTCTTATTCTTCCTTGATCTGAACCTCTTCATTAGTCGTTCCCTGTTAAATCCAGGAATAATCAGATTAGGAAATTCAATAAACTAGTGGAAGATATATGCGAAAGCGAGAACAGTGAGACTACCAATAAGACGACGTCATCGATCAATAAATCAAAGTGGGTTATCAATCTCAATTCATACAGAAATCCATAAAGTGTATGGGAAAATCGTGTAAGTTTCAGTGTAACATTAGAAAAGCTGAAATTTAAGGATGTTACTCCAGAAAATAGAAACAGCACTAAATGCAATAGACACAACTACTTAGAAAAAGTTTACGCCAACATACTTACAGAACTTCTAATTTTGATTTTCAATCTTGCCGTCGATTGATTGGACCGAAGTGCCCGGTCTCAGATTGACATATCGGCTTCTTGTGCAGATGCTTCGACCATGTCTGGGCATACAATTAGTATTTAATTGGTGGATGGTGACTAGCGGTGGAATTCAGAATGCGTATTTCATCCTATTTGCGACTAGTCAGCTGGGTTTGTATCCAACTTTGAAGGAACTCATGTCTCTTCTGAGATTCAAAACCGCACCAACCGGTGCCGCCTTCAGTTAGAGACGTCGCCACTGAGCTATTCGGGCTCACAACTGACTTCATATAGAACTGTATTGGATAATTTGATGTTACAATAGTTAATCACTAGTGCAACTAGTGAAGGTCCGAATCTCAGAATGGATATGAGTCTCTTCAAGACTGCAGATACGCAATACGAACTGGTGAGTGCTAACTAGCACGAAACTCTGGTTAAGCAAGGCTTCCTGTGTCCGAGTGCCTCCAACCATCTAATATTAACAATTCGGAGTGTACCATGATAGCGAAACACCTAGAATGGTGGGCACATTTCAATGTGACTGACAGAATTCCATCTACATCAAAACAGAGAACTAGATACGTTACGCTAGTATCCAGTCAAAGACAGACTCACCGATGCTTTTGAACTTAAACATTAGATAGTGAAAAAAACTGGTTGGATCTGTTATCGTCATATTTTATACACAAACACGAATGAGCATAACTATAGGAGCGGTCAGGAAGGAGCTTATTTTTGAATAAGGACTTGATCTGAGAAGCAAAGTATCATTAGAAGATGTTAAACCTGTAACTAATGAATATGATATTCAAGTCTAAAGGGAAAGACTACAGACAAACTGAAGTAATTGGCATGCAGCCATCAATGTCTCCAGCTATGACATATATACATATATATGTTTAAGGATAGGCGGGAAAAGTTAGTAGTTGAAACGCTCAGCTCCACCTCGAAAGTGTTATGGTGGTATGAAATGTTTAAGTGACAGTATGAAACGGATGAATAGTAAGCCATGCAAGAGAGGCTTTGGCACTTAAGAGTTGCCCTGTTAAATGAGTTAGAAACTATGTGAAAAATTATAAGAATGAAAATAGTGCAGATACTAAGGGTGACATGAATATTAAACATACTTAAAGATTATGATAGCATGACGAAGAGAGAATTCAAAACAGTAATGTTGTCATTACGAAAAGGGACGTAGGATTTATAACAAGTTGGGGGAAAAGGTGACATTCAAACACACAGACCAATTTACTAACAAACTGTGTAAGTTAACGAACGCTTTGGAGTTGATTATACAAAATAATTCACTTTATCTAACCCTTTAAAGTAGTTGTGAGGCCATATACACAGGTCAAAGTAAGTAGGCCACAGTATATGAGATTAGCAGAGCACAAAAGCCGTTGGGAAATCTAGACTAGTAGATCCTAACAAGATAAGGAATCTGAAAAATAGCTTAGCTACAAAACTACGTGCAATTTACCACGACCATACAATAGAATGCGATAAAGTGCCAGTCTTAAGGTCTAATGTGGCAAGCTGGAGGGAGAGAAACTGATAACTGAAGCTTTGTTTATTCAATCGATTGGAAATAAGTACGGTGGGAATGATTTATATAGCCAACAAACAAATTATTACGGAATTATAATGTGAACTACACTGCTATGTGGAAACTCAACTGAAATCTCCGAACTCTTCCACACAACCACACACACACACAGCCAATTATGTCACTGAGTCAATGTAAAATATCTCAAATAATTTTCAACATATTGACATAACATGTATTATTAATATTATTTAGTGTTTACTGAGGTGATAAATAAACTCATTGGTTTTGGAAATGTATGACTTTTGTGTAGAGCTTACGTGGAACGTCAGATTATACAAGACTGATAGGGAAAATGGTTTTATCGAATAATTATCAATGGTCCTAATGAACTTCAGTTCGACAGCTTTTCATTAGGACGGATAAACATCAAGATACTAAGTAATTGATGGCACAAATCATTCTATAGGTTAGTAATAGTTAGATTCTAGTTTGAATGTTTACGAAATAATTATTGGATCTGATAGGTACAGGTTCAATGTGAAATCGAATTATGATTTCTCTTACTGATGGAGAGCAATGATGTAGGATAAATGTGCTTTCGGATTCTTCTGTCATTTCAGTGATTCAAATTTCTTTTTCTGTCTTACGTACCAGAGGTATACAAATTAAGTATTCACCAGGGAACTGGGCACATTATTTCTTTACATTCTCATAGAACTATATTTTCAGATGATCTACAGAGGTTGAAAAAACTGAGCGGAGATTCGTATTCACTACTTAAATCAACTCTTCAAGGTGTATTGCTTAGGCTTATCTGCATTGTGACTTCGTAAATTATGATGTGTGGGCATCACTCATACCAACATTATATTCATAACGAGAACCAGTGTGAAATGTCACCACAAAATAGGTGTGATGTGATGAGCTCGAAACGAGTAATCAAGAGATCCTTCATAAGCTTTCACACCATTCAAGTTATATACATGTATATATCCATAATTTTCTGAAATGCTTTCATAATATACAAGTGGCCAGATTTCAAGATGAAATTTCAGACAGAAATCAAACGTTATAGGCATCGTCTGTCATTCTCTCACAATAAACTACTCATTGACATGAGATGTTGTGGATATAAATAAAAATATAAACAAACTGAAGAGAAGGTAGGAAACACTTACTGAAATTGTATCGGCTATTCCGTTCAGGCACAATTATCCAGCCCAGATCTGCAAAGACTACCACAGGACCAATACGCCAACTCTTCTCATATTGTAAACGTTCCGGTAGATTGTTCTTCAAGTACACTTTCATGTATTGATGTTTACCTTTGAGTTTCCGATACAAGGATTCCGCAGAACTTCCTGTGAAACTATCATAGGTAAGCGACACATATCTTACCGTTTTGTGGCCATAATGTCCAAACTACTGCGAATTCTCGAGGCGCTGAAAGATATTCATTAGGTTCTATATAGTCATTCAAATATATTACACTGTCTGCGCTGATATTCGCCATTCCGTGATCAGTAGATACAATTAAATTCAGAGAACATTTAAGATTTGGTCGTGACTCGATTGACATCAGCAGATATTCTAATTGACTGTTGATATCTTCGATAGCCTCGAGTACCTGATGGCTTCCTGCACCGTAAATATGTCCCGCTTTGTCTGGTTGATGATAGTACATAAGGCCAAGATTAATTCCTTCATTTTCATACCAATTCATTAGAAGGTCAATTCGTTGTTTAAATGTGATAGTGTCATTATATGGTTTCAAGTAGAAATTCGGTCTGACTCCTTTCACTTCTGCTTCACTTCCAATCCAATAAACTATCCCAGTCTTATAACCATGTAGTTGATTTGTTACCCATATCGGTTCAGCACCACGTTAAAAAACCGAGAATCCTTTAATGATTTAGGATCTCTTGAATAGAATGTGGCATTTATAATTGGATCATAGAAAACATTATCGACTATTCCATGACTTTCAGGATAAAGTCCAGTCGCCATAGTATAATGCGATGGGAATGTTGAAGTTGGGAAGATATTTGTCAACCTGTGCACATAAACGCCAGACTGTTGAATTTTTTTAAACGCTGACAGATTGATATTATTTTGTTCAGCCAAATCAAAGTAGTCATAGCGAAATCCATCAAGAGATAGGAATAGAACTTTTGGATTACCTGAGCAGTTCCCATCACCATAGATAAATTTTTGATGAATTTGAAGTAAAGTTAGAGTGACCAAAACAGTGACGATTGAAGTGTACTTCATTGAAGCCTACAATTTATTTTATCTGTCTAGCCTATACGGTTTTATGTTTATATATATATGGTTTATTTATGGTCGTCTATTTGGTTAGACATCACCTTGGTCAGTCATGTGATATAGGTGAATATTAAAATACAGAATAATTTTATAAGTGCTTATAATATCTATACACTTCCGTAAGTAATTAGCATAAAATTGTGAATTATGCTTCATTTGTCAGTCTTTCTAACATGCAGACTTTGCCCAATTGAATAAATTTACATAAATCAATTTATTACCTGTATATGAAGCAACGAATCAAATATCATCTAAAAGCTAGAAAAATGAGCTTAATTTATTGTCTCGTAAAACTACTAACCACTAGTCTGCTTTATAGCGGAATCAGTGGGATTGGTCACCCACTTTCACACACACACACACACCATTATCATTATCAGTTGGAATGCAGTTTGAATGCTGTGATACATTTAATCATTCTCACTGACTAACAATACCTAATTTCCAAGTAGATGAACTTACACTATTCCTGAAAAAATATTGTGGAGACTATTCTGATTATGTCCTCGTTACATGAATTGAAGAATTCAATTACTCAGATGTCCAGCCATAGTTTGATTTATTAGGCGTACGCTATATTAGACGTCTACCTGTTCGATCACAGTTCCACTGTAGACAGCATATAGGCTCAACCATTCGAAAACTGATAGTCTGCTGTGTTCATTTCATGAGGATTTCTCAATGTGGTTGTGACCGACATTTGAATACAGCTTGCATTAACTACCTCATTTCCAAGAATCGTGTCAAGACAGCAGCATACAACATGTTCATTGCCTACAAATTAAGTGGCTTTTTATCAGAAATCAGCCAGTTGTCTAAGGAAAACGTTATTACCTTTAACCCCTCTAAACTTCCAGCAGTCAATTTCACCTTCAGGCATAAATCTGACCTAAACAAACTGGTTAGCACTCATGAGGTGTGCAACATCGATGGCATTGAAATAGAAACCAAGTCGGAAATTAAATACCTTGGCGTCGTTCTATCTGCTGATCTTTCCTGGTCGTCACATATCTTAATGATTTCTAAGAAAATATTCCGTCTTACCTTCTATATCAAGAAGTTAAGATATTCTGGAATAACCCAACCCATACTACTACGATTCGTTAACTCTTGCATCCTGCCTATTATTCTCTATTGTTCCCCCTTAGTTTTTCCAGCGCTACTGAAGAAGCGCTATATCATATTACGTAGGGTATCAAAGGTTGTCAGCAGGGTAAGCAACGTGCCACTTAACCAGCTTGTTAATATTCTAGTCGACAGGCACATTGACTCATGTGAAAAATGGGCTAAATCCATGTCTATCTAACTCACACCACCCTCTTCATTCACAACTCTCCCCTTGTATCTCATCAGGCCATACGAAACCAGAAGCCTATGTGGAAAACTATATGCTCGCACTAGTAAGTACAAAAACTCAATCATACCCTACTCAGCTCGTGCTCTGTGCGATATAGAAAGCATTAGGCATGATACCTGTAACTTATTAAATAGTCAGCAGAACAACTGCATTTCGTCTTTCCAACTCATATCATTTATAGGTACAACGTTATCTTTCTTTCTTTTCCTTTTCTCTCTATCTCTTTTTTTGTTATGCGCTGTTTTGTTTCTCTCTTCCTTACAAACTCTACTTAAAATATTCTTCTTCGTTCCTTCACACTCTGTATATCTCGACATTTTTGTTACCGCTTACGCCAGTAAATATGCTAGGATCTACATTTCTGATACCTTCAAACACTCTGTTCAAATTTGGCTTTGCTAGTGACATGCCAATATGTTGTTGTCATAACTAACTGAGATTACCCTTAATCTGTTTAGAATTTTATTTATTTTTAATGTACTAACTGGATGCAATACTGTTGTGAAATGTTGAGAATTCCATTCTGTATCACAAGTACTGTATTTGAATAAAGCAAAATATTAATAATAATAATATTATTATTACAATAACGTCGTCATTCGAATGGTTGAACAGAACACTTCATCGAGATAAGTACAGATACAGTATCCCTACGAGAAGAGAAGAAGCAACTGATAAATTGCACCAAATATTCATTTCGTGTGTGGCTTATTCTGATGACCACTGCTTCATCCAAAAGCACCACTAACACAGATCCCAGATGTATTCTTCCTTGGTTGTTGAATAGCTTAAATTCCCTTGGTTAGAAATCTCACTATCAAATAGTCAAATTACACATTCTCGAGAGTGGAAACAACCCATCAGGGAACACAAAGATGGAAAATGTGACACTGTAATGTGACTTTATGTAAGGAGACGCGTGTAGAGAAAATCATCATAACAACTGGTGAATTACATATGACGAAGCAAAATATTCTCTACGAATCGTCTTGCCTTCTCGTCAGAATAATCTCGGTATATCTGAGCTGATTCACATCATCATATTCTTCGTTTCAATAGTGGTAATTCCAAGATTACACATGAATTCAACAATACAGCTCCTCACATCCCACGGAGATTGCACAGTACGCGAACACACATCAATACATTGTATTCGATAAGGATGAAACAGCAAGTCATTGATGTGGAACTCACTTTCCACTCACTAGTTTAATGCAAGTGTATTGCGGACGAACACCTCATAATCAGTTGAATTTAATATTTATAATATTCAGTCTGGTTTAGTTAACAGTGAGTTCCACAGAAACAATTAAACGTTGCAGACATTTTTTTAATTTTATTTATTTCATCTAGTAAACGGAATGATACACAGGTAAATTAAGTATTTAGTGGAGGTGTTCTAGATTCTGACTAAGTTCTACCAATCAACTTTGTAATTTGGTCAGCAAGCAAAGTGACTGTCCACTTCAGTTAATCATAGAGTGGTATCGAAAAATGGTGTAGATGTTTGAAAGCTCATGGATCGCTGAAGCAAACACCAGTGAAATCTCTACGTGTGATAGTATGAGACAATTTCATTGAAGAATATTAATAACAGAAGCCTGAAACAGAATTACTCAGGTGTTGTCAAATGTCTAGGTCTAACTACACTGGACTTCACACTGTCCTTATAAGACTTTCAGGAACTACGCTCAACAACCAACGCAAAAAAACAGAACACAAATTGGTGACTCAACAACCCTTTATTCTTGCACCAATATAGAGCCAACCATTAGGTTATTGTACACAAAGTCTAAGAATAAATGTCATATCAATTAATCACAATAATACTTCTGATAGTATTTCTCCGTCTTCTAACGAACAGCGAACGATGGAACGATAACTGCAGTATCGATGACTACAGCGAAAAATATGGAATCGGGTATGAGTAAACAACCATGAATTGATCATTAATTCTTCAACTACAGTGACAGGTGTCATGAAAATGGATTCATACATATTGAATCAAATAATTCTTCAGATTGATAAATTCCCTCCAGGAATCTATTCATCCAATGCTTCCACCATGATCCATTTCATTGTGAAGTAAGGCTACACCCTGTTCATATCATCTTAAGCGAGCCCAAATCGAGAAATGAAGTCATGTAATTACAGTGATGTCTGTTCGTCAACACCAGCAGATTTATTGCAAAGATTCCGCGTGATGAAGGCAGTTTCCCATGTTATTTACATGCTCTGGGACTCGCTGAAGCGTGCCGAACACATGGACCAAAAAGATTCATTAAATAAGTATGAGACACATTCGTAAAACAGACTCTACATATCAAGACAACTACACAAACCACCGTCACCCCCCAAGGATAACTCAATTAATTTGTGGACGCTACTGAGATGGACTGAAAGCAATAGGAGACACAGTGGAATAGGTGACGATATTTCTCACTGCAAATCAAAATCACCGTGCTGTCGTCTCAATATCCGTGTGTAAATCGAACGGAGGCGGTTATTCACGACGTGAATTACCTCAGGTAGTTAACTCTGTGTTAGGCGTCTATGGAAATTCTGTCATCATCTCACACCTCACGTTCGCCCAGCTTCAGACGTGTTACGTCAAGTAACTTCATAAAGATTGAAAATCAATAGAAAAAAGACAGGTAGATCAGCGAAGAAACTCATTTCAGCGAATTCCAGAAAATTTGCCGAATACAATTTGCTGAAGAGAGTCCCCTGGCTGGACTACTTGTCTCTCGTCCATTATTGTTCGAATGGGAACTGTTCATGAAATAAAAACATCGAATATCTCCTGAAGACTGTGGAGGAACGCTGTGTGCGAAAATAACCTTGTGATAGACAGCTCCTATCCTCACCCGATCACAATAACTCACAAGGCATGACAACGAATTCACACCTGAATCAGCACACAACATGAGAATGTTGATTCAGTCTCATCAGAAATCCAACAACATCCTGGTGGATGTGTGTGTGAATGGTGAGAAGATGGTTAGTCGAAGAGTCAGTTACTTCGTTTTAGTCTCCACTGTGACGTGAATCGCTCTCAGTCAATCAGAATTGTCCCTCATTCAACACACACCTTCATATTATTAGGATTAATTGAGTCAGGAAACGACTGTTCATTTTCCCCACCACACACTACACATTGTGGACAGTTGGAGGGATACAGCAGGATGCACAATCCACCAATGTCAATTCACTCGTATTTGTGTCGGTGTCACGGTGGTTAGGACGCTCTCTGTCCATGCAGTTGTTCCGGGAATCGACACCACGTCGATGCATACCTGATATCAATGTTCAGCCTAGTAAATTTCGGCTCCCTACATCACATCGTGACAATTTCACGAATGTATCGAAAATACTGTGTGGAGTTAAAGTATGATAACAAAGTATGTGACAAATTAAAATTAATAAATCTCATCATGCAATATTACTTCCTATTTCGTAGGACTACAGAATGAATACTGGGTGGGGAAGAAGCCAGCGATGGTGACTGAATACGCATAAGCCTGTTCGTATGTTCACCTTCGTCTGGTGATGATTTCCATCCACATGTGTGTGCGTTCGTATGTGATTT